CTTTAAGCCTCTGCTATAAAATAAAACTGCAAAACCAAAGGAAATGCAAGATGTGTAGCATAATCCAATCAGTTTTGTGATGGAGATTATAAAAGTAAAATGTGTTGAGGAGATAGTATTTTTGTTAAAGTAAAATAAAACTTTGATATAAAAACATAATCATACACTGTAAATAAAAGAGCATCTCCTTCCAGTATATTAATATTAGACATTTAAATAAAATTATTTCCTCCAGAGGCCATGGGACTTATGAAACTGTAAAGTAAAGGCTGTTTAATATGGCTAATTAGTAGCATGTGAAATCAGGCATGCTGAATATACATTTCAATTGCATTACATGGAGAAGTGGTTGGAAACGGGAAATGACTCTGGTACCTAATAGGACACAGGGAGTGCTGAACTGTAAGCCTGACACTTCAGAGACCAACTTGGAAAGAACCTGCCATGAAAAAGACACCTTTGCCAGGGCCTCCGTGTGCTACAGACGGGCAGTGCTGTGGGAAATCAACCACCACTGGGTGGAAATCTGGCCAGCCAAGACAACATGGTGAGAGATTATTTCACTGAGTATTTCTTGGTTTTGTTAATCTGTCCACTATATCCATCCTGCTAATGACCTCACTCCGGGACATGCCTCAGTGGGATGGATCTCAGGTGAGGCAGCTTCATGCCCAGCCACCAATGGGAATTCTGGGAGGAGTAGGGCTTGAGGAATAATAAAGTATTCTTGTACCATTTCAGGTAAAAGTGATCTAATGACTTGGACACATAAGCAAATTACGTGGGTATAACACATCATAGGTATTGGTTGCTCTGTATTAATTACTCATTTGCATATCCAGCTATAAGTGTGATGCAGGTTTCTCGTCAAATATTGAATACTTTGAACAAGTTTGAAGCCTCAAGCAGTTCATAATAAATAAAACCATGCAACCCCGTGCAGCATTTCTACTTGCTTACTTTAAAACTGTTTTTAAATGTGTCTCAAATATCCCAAAATACTCCTTAAAATTCTGTAACAAAGGAGACTGAACAAACAATAGTTGTCATCCTTATTGCTATGTTCCATACAGTCACTGTTTTTCCATTGGACCTTAAGACAATTTCTTCTGGCCAAGTTACCTGAACATGCTTATGAAAACTCTACATATTGTAAGAGTCAAAACTTGTTTAAATGACTGTATAGCACATCTACTCTTTCGTCTTTATTTACTAAATTGGCAGTCCTGTCAGAGAAGGAAACTATATTACTTCAACTTAATTTGCTCCTGATTTTTTTTACCATCCTATTATCCTCTAGGTGGTGATAAATTGATTATTTAATAATTTGTTCTAGTAGCTTTCTGGAAATCAAAGCTGGGCTGACCTGATAATTTTATGGGTTTTTCTCCTTTTAGAAATAGGTATAAGACCTCCCCGTACCCACTGGTTTTCTACCTTACATGACCTCTATAAGTTTTTGAAAACAATCACTAATAGTCCACACACAGATTCAACTAGTTCTTTAAACACTCTAGGGTGAATCTCATCGTACCATTTCCATTGAATTCACTTATTCAGATACTGGTTAACCAATTCTTTTATTCCATACCCTCTGCTTAAAATTTATTTTCTTAAACAGCTGGTCAACTAAACTCTTTTGTTAAAGCAAAAGAAGCCTTTTCTAAATAATCTACTATCTGCTCTCCTTTCCCACGAAGTAACAGCAGTATAAAAAAACAGAAGTAGTTACTCTAATGACAATTTTTTTGTTGCCTTTTATACTATGTGCCTTAGCCTTTCTGATATCCTGTTAGATGATTCTCCTTTTCTACTCACTTCCAGTCGTGGGCTTTTGATTCTACATTTTGTACAATTCCTTTTCACTTTTCAGGATGTTAAAGAATATTTATGCTGTGATATTATTACTTTATTCTACTACTTCTGCTTCAGGAGAATTTTCTGTTGTACCTTAAGCACAGCCAGTGCAAGATTTTCTGCACTCCTTTTGTTCCTAAAATTTCTTTCCAAGATATCCTGCTTACCATTTGTTTGAGCTCATTGAAGTCTGTCCTTTCTGAAATCCGTTATCTTATTTCTACTGCTCTTAGTCCTCCTTTTTCGCAGTGTATTTTGTGGTAACTGAATTTTTAACCAATACCTCTCTTAGTCAACATCAACTCTAAAGTAAACACTTCCCTTTTAACTTTTTCCATCTTGTAGGTTGACCCTGGCCAGCAACTAAGCACACACTTACCATTGTCCCCTATCAGGATGAAGGCAAGAATAAAAAGAGCAAAAGTGAAAAACCTCATGGGTTAAGATAAATGTGTGTAATGAGGGAAGGAAAGAGGGAAAAAACCCCAAGTGGTGCAAAGGCAATCACCTCCCATCTCTGTCAAGCAGCCAAAACAGTGTCCAAGCAACAGGTACTTTGGAAGGAAAAATCTCCCCAGTTTTTATTTATGAGCAAGATCTTATATGATAAAGAATATCCTTTTGACCAGTTTGGGCCATCTGTCTCAGCTGTATTCCTTCCCAACCTGCTGTCCACCCCCAACCTATTCATTGGGAAGGCAGAACAGGAAAAAGAGAAAGCCTTGCGAATGTGCAAACACTGTTCAGCAACAGCCAAAACATCAGTGTGTTTTAATAATAAATCCAAAATACAGCACCATATGGGATTCTATGAAGAAAATTGACTCCATCCTACCCAGATCCAGTACAGTGTTTTGAAATAAGTAGATGTTCTTAATGTTGTCTTTATAAGCCTTTGATCTCCTCACATATTATTATGCCAAAAAGATACTGAATGAAGTTCTCCACTACCATCAGATGAAGGCTTCTGTGAGTTGCTCAAAAAAGGCTTTCATAATCTTCTAGAGTCTGTACTAGATCCATGAAAGGACATGACATAAGATCTTTTTTCTCTTTAAAGTTCCTTCAGAACTTTTCACAGGTCTCTGTCTTACCCCTGTCCTGTCTGTAGAACAAGTATTTATAAGAAACCATTCAGAAACTCAGAGATAGAAGTTCATATAAATGCCAGAAACCACAGAACATCTTCAAAAATCTTTTGAAATACTGACACAGGGACACAGTAGACCATAGCTACCAGCAACGCCAACAAGTTTACCAGCTTGCCGTTGAAAGTAATGATAAAACGGGGGTTGTCTTCTCCAAAAATAATATTTATATCACTTCAGCTAAGGACAACTATGTGATAAAACTTCACATTATTATTATGTAGCACACAGGCTTAGAGCTAAAATATACCTGGCTGTCTCATTCTGAGATCCCACCCTTGAACTTCCATCTGAAGCTTTCAGACCAGACCAGCCTTTTCTCAAAGTCCTGCTCAAGTGTGTCTGATTTCACTACTGATCTGTTGGTCTCAGAGCCAGTCTATGTGCATTTCATGCACAGTAGAAATCAATCCTAACTCCTTTCACGGATCTGGAGCATAAATTCTGTAGTACTTTTATGAGAAGGGAAGTTTATTGAGCAGAAATGCATGTGTGCATGTTTGTCTGTCTATTGCCCTCACAATCTGTAATGTTTCACTAAGCTTAATTGATTTGGAAAAAAAGGTGGGAGTTTCTTCATGTTTGTACAAGCTGTATGAAAAAAGGCACCTGGGAATAGGAGAAGGACACTATCAATACTCTCCTGAACACCCAAGGAAGAAGTCCAGTCTTGTTAGAAGTTGGTTTTCACCCTTGACACAAAAAATCAGTGAGAAACCTGTTCTGTTGCTGTGAAATTATTTGCTATTTCACTGATCCCTGCAAATAAAAAAGTCACAAGAACAAGGCCATAGCTAAGCAATAAAGCATAAAGATTAAAAATTGAAATAGCACTCAATTAACAAAAAAAAGAACAAAAAATTATTGATTGTAGTATTAGAAGTGAAGATGTTAATAAACACTTCACAAATCATCACACCAGTCTTTTGTCAGTAGACTTAGTAAATAACAGATTTATAATTTTATTGCATGCCTCATAATTTTGTTAAACATTCTACTTTTGTATGGGCCTAAAGTCTGCTGTTCTGCACCTCCACTTTCACTTCAGAAAAAGTAAAAGGAGGTGTGGATGGAAAATTAAATTACCAAAGCATAAACAAATAAATCAACATACATCTTCTTAATTCAATACATATTTAAATTCAAAGCTTGGACACCAGATAGCAATTGGGTGGGTTCTTACGGCACTTATTCACCAAGCACAACCCCAGTGGCTTTAGAATCCATGGAAAAATACATGTCCAAGGCAACTGTGTTCTTCTACTTCATCCTAAATACGTGTCACTGTCAAACATCTTTTCAAATAGCTTTTTGCTATAACAAGACTCTATGTGTAATACCTCTTCAATCTTAAAGCTGCAGCCCCTTCCTTTGGATTGTTCTTTCATTGGCAAATAACATCCATGTTGTGAACACTGAGGAGGCAGACACCAGCTTTTTGGCCTCAGTAAAACATAAGGTATTTCACCAAGAAATAAAATTCTGGTCCAACTGATTTAATCTATTGTTTTGAATGCCTGTATTATTATTTAAATGAGAGAAGTATTTTACTTTTTTACAGCAAACAGAGATTCTGGTGTTTGCTTCCAACCAAAAGAGGGGCATTGTGTGCATATTGTGATCATTGCATCTAAGTATCAGTCAGGCATTGGTTTTGCTAGGCTTACTCCTAGTTAGCCTAAGTTAGGTTTTTGGGACAGGCATCATATGAACAGTCTTCATCTCCAGAGGTTAGAACATTTTACTCTGGAATGAGTCATTGGATACAAATAGTGTCAGACACTACAATACTAGTTTTTTTTACTCACATTCAAAACATCTTTGTGTGTACAGAAGCTTGATTATATTTTGTATGAACATCAAAGTGTGAATGGAAAAAAAATTCATTTGCCTCATTCATGGGCTACACAGTGACATTGATAAATACATTTCAGGTTACCATAATTTTTCTAATAAAAATTGAATTCTAGTAAGTTAAGAAGAAATCTCACTTACCTGTAAAGTGCTGAAAGTGGCCGCTTGTTGCCAGGTTTTGGTCTGTATGGTTTTGGTTCTCCTGCCATATTGATATCTGAAAGCAAACATGTGATATTAGTAAGCCAAACATCTGGAAGTTAGAGTGAATTTGCAAAGGCACCTTCAAGACATTGAAAATGAGTAATAGACAGTGAAAATTGACAGCATATCTAAAACACCTATCTAGTTTTTACCACTTCTGAATTGATGCTATAAAACTTCCCTAAAAATTCTTACCTAATGCATGAGGATTTTAGACAAAATGTCAATTATTGGTAACAGAAAGAAATGACATTTTTTAAACATACATGAGTTTTCACTCATGAAGCTGAAGCCAGTAATACATTTCTATTACAGAAGGAGATTTTAATAGTAACTTAGATGTTGAGACAAACTATCATCACAAGTCAAATTCTGTTGTGGAGGACTATATAGGTACTGAAGAGTTCCCCTTTATGATTTAGGGAAATGCACACTAATATTTAACTGACACTTCACTATCCAATCAAAAAGAGACTTTCAAAAGCAAATAAGAGACTAATTTCTGCCCCAATTAAATTTTTTTAGTATTATTATTATTTTGAGTTCTGAATATAAAAACTCACTGGCTTTAAAAATTCTAAGGAGAAAGAGAAAATCCATTTTTGTACATGCATTATCTTATACAGGTACTTATAATTCTTAACAATGCCAAAAATCTTGTGCACACTTTTTGAAAGTTCACTTACATTATCTCAGTGTATTTATCCTTGAAATTTAAAAATATGTCAAGTTTATATAGACATTAGTCATGCTGATTCTCAAATTACTCACTTCTTTTGAATCATACTCAAAGATATACCAGGAAATACATGTCCATCATTTTGATTGCTTATAACAGTTACCTATGGAGAAAAAAGCACACACCCTTCTGTATAGAATATCTAGCCTGAGCTTAGAAAACTGTCTATATAAACACAAACCCATATTAAAAAACTCCCTTCCTCTGATTGAATGTTGCACAGTCGACATTACAGTAAATCACATGGATAAAGTAAAACTTCTGATTAGGAAACAAATTCCATGCCATCTGAGTGATTCTGCTGCTAAATTTCTCCACTGTTTCACTAATACACAAAAGAGTAACATTCAGCAAAATCATCAGAGTTATTTCTGTGTAAAATTGTTGTGACAGAACAACACATCCCATTTACCATGGAATTACCTTGGTGATCAAGACTTTCAAGTACGTGCCTGTTCTTGGTAAAGTCTATGTTTAACCTGAAATTGAGTGTAGTGGAGGGAAAAGAGAAGTAGAAAACTGAGGTGTAGAATGTAGAATGCTAAAAGCCAAGACATTTTTATTTAAGCTACTCTTGACATCAAAAGCTTCAGTAAAATCCTGAGACTTCCTGACTGGATACTTTTATTTCACACAAATTGGAAAAACTTACTGACTGGATACTTCTATTTCACACAAAGTGGAAAAAAATAATCCAGCTGACTTTTCTTAATAATCAGAAACATTGAAAATGTGTGAACCTTAATTTTTTTGACGGAAAAAATTTTTCCATTGGCAATTTCATACTTCAAACATTTAAAAGAAATTTAAACATATTTTCTATTTAATTTTTATATTTTGAGTTAAAAGAACATATGCTTAAAATTATACAAGGTCCTGAAATGAAAAGATTTTGTGTAGAACCATTTCAAAAAAAGTATACGTCATGGTTTGAGCCTTGTTGGCAACCTAACACCACACAGCCACTCTCTTTCCCTTCTCTTCCAGCAATAAGAAGGGACAGAGAGCCAGGCTTGGGGTTCAAGATAAGACTGGGATGGGGAGAAAATTCCCCTTTATGGTCACGAGCAAAAGGCAGACTCGTTAGGGGAAGAAAAAAAAGAACATACATTTATTACAGACACTAACAACACATAACAGAGTAGGACAGTGAGAAGCATTGCCACATCTTGAGAACACCTTCCCCCCACCCCTCCCTTCTTCCCGGGCTCAGTTCTGCTCCCAATATCTCTACCTCCTCCCCCCAGCAGCACAGGGGCAGGGAATGGGGGGTGCAGTCAGCGCTGCCATTTCTTACATCTTCAGTGGGGGGGAGCTTCTGGAACTTGTTCCCCCTGCTCCATCGTGGTCCCCCTCTCACAGCAGACAGTCCTCCACAAACTTTCTCCCACATGAGTCCCTCCCACGGGCCGCAGCATTCCCCACACTGCTCCGTCATGGGTCACCAACTTTCTCCAACTGGATTCTCTCCCACGGCTGCAGCCCTTCCCGAGCTGCTCCGGTGTGGGACTCCCCCGCATGCTGCAATCCTCCCAGCACTGAATTACAGCAGCGGGGATACCTTTTCCCATGAGACCCTGGCCTTCTTCGGGCACAGCAACTTGGTCATCCAGGCGAAAAACACAGGCCATAAATCAGTGTCTGCTCCACCGTAGATCTTCATGGGTGGCAGGAGGGCTGCCCTGCCATCTCACCACAAGATACAGGGGGGTCTCTGCTCCAGCACACCTCCCCTCTCCTTTCTTCCTCCGTTCCTCCACTGACCTTGGTGTTCATGCAGCTGCAGCAACTCCTCCTCACAAGTCCCCCTGCACGTCACCACGTCCCTTCTTAAATACGTTATCGCAGAGGCGCAGCCGATTGGCTCAATTTCCCAAACAGAAGTGGAGCTGGCTTGGAGCTGGGGGAGCTTCGAGAAGCTTCTCACAGGGGCCGCCCCTATAGCCCCCTCCCCTGCTACCAAAAAACTCCACCACTCACTCAAACCCTGGACAGTATAGTTTTTGGTAAAATTTTCTTCATATAAAGCATTTTGGAATTAAATCTGATTGTAGTTAATTTTGTAGGATCTGTATTACTCTTATATAATAGTTTTACATGAAATGTTAAATTTCTTGTTTTATTTGTGTCTCTGATGTTGAATGAATATTGGAGACAGTGTTCACACCTCCTTGAAATGCTTTTCTGTCCTTAATTCTAAGCAAGTGCTTTGTTAAATATAAATTAATCTTCCTCTTCCATGTTTGTTTAAAATTCAGCTATGATTCCTTATTTAAAGAAATATAAATTCTACTAATGTTGACCCAACAAAGTAAACGTCAGGTATTTCTGAAAGCCACTGAGGAATTTTGATAGCTGTGCTGCATTTCCATTGGCTCTTGGATATAACAGAATTGGAACAAAATTTTTATCCTGTGACCTTTATGATAATTAGACCTTTTCACACTATTTTAATATGTCAGCTTTAAGGTCATTGACTGTATTGACTTCCACTATCTCCTACTACAACTAGGTCAGATTTTAGGAAAAAAAAGTAGAGTTATAATCTGTTCTTGGGAAATACCTGAGGCTGTGGGATTTGTCTTCACGTATTTTCGTGTCTCTCATCTTCTCTTTTAGTGCTACAGCCCAGGTCACCATTCTTAGGCATATGAACACTAAAGGGCTTTAAAAAGTTTTTCACATCCTTCTGGGACAGATCAATACTATCTTGATGATTATTCTTGTAGACCTACATTTGCAGCTCTAGAACACCCACTTTTAACAAAGACAAGTAGTATTGAAGACTAAGGGCTATTTGTTATGTGTTCACTTTATTTTAATCAAATACTGTCAGAAAGGTAAATCTGTAAGAAAACACAGCTGTAAATCTGTTCAGAATCAGTTAAGAGTCCCTTGCACCTAAATAAATCTCTAAATGTACTAGCAGAAAACAGTGAACTATGATATACAGAAAGTAATAGTCAGAATTTCTCTTTAATACAGGAAATAGTTCATAGAAAAGTTGTGCACACGGGGCTTTTCTGTTAATATGAAAGTGATTGAATAGCTCTGCAAGTCCCCAAGCACCTTGTAGTAAGTTAAGAATGGATGTAGGAAATGGTTTGAAAAGTTAGAACAGATTTTCACCCTATTATTTTTCAGCACAGTCTACTCCAACCTCAATTTTCTAACTAAGGTTAGAACTGAACCTGTCAACATTTCACAGGATAGATTATTTCTAGCCTAAGTGGAATTCTTGTGAAATAACTCGTTCTCTTGCTTCATCCATCATTAGTTTCACAGCAGAGATTTACATCTACTAGGTCATAAACTGTGTCAAATAGATTTGTTGACTACAGCACAGAGATTTACCTGCACTAATGATTCCACCCCAAGGAATGCAAAGAGGTATCACTCCTTATGCTGCAAAATTAGCTACTGCACTTGTACATGAATATGAACCAGACAACTTGACAAAGGACACAGACATGCACATTGCTTCCTTGTGGGAATGGAGCAGCTCAGGGACTCTCACATTATTTTCTCTGCTCATATACTATAAATGTTCCTTTAAACATCAACTTTAAGACAAATTCAACACTGAAGTTCAAAATATTAAGGAATCACTGTCAATAGAAAGGTGACTGTGTAGACAACAGCACGTTGTAATGCAGCAGCCTGCTCTCTCTGTGCTTTTAAATCAAACGAGATTACTTTCTTTATTAAAAGAAATGCATCATAAGTTCTACCTATTCCTGTTAGCACAGCAGAGGTTAGTTAAGATATGACATCTAGATTTCATTCAAGGTTATGTGTCATTAGCAAATGTCCTGGGTTGAGTGAGTGGTGGAGTTTTTTGGTGGCAGGGGAGGGGGCTATCGGTGCAGCCCCTGTAAGAAGCTTCTCGAAGCTCCCCCAGCTCCACGTCAGCTCCACTTCTGTTTGGGAAATTGAGCCAATCGGCTGCGCCTCTGTGATAACGTATTTAAGAAGGGACGTGGTGACGGGCAGGGGGACTTGTGAGGAGGAGTTGCTGCAGCTGCATGAACACCAAGGTCAGTGGAGGAACGGAGGAAGAAAGGAGGGGGGAGGTGTGCCAGAGCAGAGACCCCCCTGTATCCTGTGGTGAGATGGAAGGGCGGCCCCCTCTGCCACCTATGAAGATCTACAGTGGAGCAGACATTGATTTATGGCCTGTGGCTCCTGCTCCACTAATGAAGGTTCTGTGCCCGAAGAAGGCCGGGGTCTCATGGGAAAAGGCAGCCCCGCTGCTGTAATTCAGTGCTGGGAGG